GGGGGGGAGGGGGGGGGGGGGGAATTCAGCTCTCTCAATTTATAACATAGTACAAAGTACCTGTAGGGCTGTGAAAATACCAGCAATACTAATTCATAATAAATGGTCCACGGTTCCGTATAAAAAATCTGCTGACAGAAAAGTCCTCTTAAATTAGCGAAATTACGCAATACAAAACTACAAATACTGCAAAAGTACAGCGATAACTTAAAGCTTGTCAAATCTCGCTATATCTTTGGAAAAGGAAACCGTGCATGACTACAAAAGAACGGGATTGGAACTGCTCACAAACACTGTGGAGCAAGGTCGGCACAATTAGATTTAAAAAAGAATTAAAGATTTTTGAAAGAGTCCCCTGTGAAAAAAAATAGTTCTAGATCAGCCCTTGATTAAGCTTCGATTAAACCCATGATACTTTCTCGTATCGGTAAAAGACCAAGATGTTAAAATTAGTGAAATCCTGATCGCAATTATTTTGAAAACAATGACAATACGAACGGCCAAATCCGATAAAGAGCCTACAGGCCAAATGTAAACATTCTTATCAAAGCCATTATTTATCGGTATATTTGAATATTAAATTGATGTTTCTATACAGATCTGAGCTGTACGACAAACACTTCCATATGATAAATGGACCGCTATTTATGAAATATTTGTAACTGTGTGGATAAACAGAACTGTTTATCAACACGATAAATGTGGGACGAGCTACTGCCAGCTGGTATAAAGATAGACTTGGTTCAAGGCTGACGTCAATGCATCATCTCACTTCACTTGGCAACGTACTATAGAGGCAAAATTGTCTGTGACTACGACTCCTTCCAGCGACATGGCAAGGGAAAAATCAAAGCACTAGCCACTAATTACCGACTGACTCCTTCAGGCCGTTATTATAGTGTGGTCCCTGATCATAATATGTGATCAAAATCAAAGTGTATACGTAGTAGATTTCAGATGACACCAAAAGTCTTAAAACACGTTTAGGAACAAAATTCCAAATTTATTAAAACATTCCTGTGTTACATGGGGTCAGATGAATTATACAAAAAGACTAATTTTGTTCAGAGGGCAAGTAGGGCTTATTTTCGAAGTTTACAGGCAGAATACTGATTGGCACGGGGAATCTGATGAGCATTTCTTCCAACTTATGGACAAAGTGGGGTTCGAGAAGGCCAATAATTGCACAAAAGTCCAACCATGTGCAACACTCTATGGGACACCAGTAATAAAAACATGTAACCTTTGAGGCAATACTTGTCAGATTCTTTCAAAATAAATACATATAGCACACAGAAAAAAAAAACACATTAAAATTGCAGACATCAGCTATATAATGCAGGCGTGAAAAGGACACTTTCTAGTGTCTATATGGGTATCCAAGTACTCTGTTTGGTACTGATTTATTACAGAAATCAAACTGGTTCAAACCGGTTTTACACCAGCAAACTGGATGGAGCTTGCGTAGTTGAAGGAAATAACTGTCCAATCACATAATGCAGAGCAGCATACAGGTTTTTAAAAAAAAAAAAAAAACTTTGCTTAAATAGAAACCGTAAACAGTAAATTAATAGGATTCATCAGTTTCTTTGAAGCAGTTATGGGTGAAAAGGAGTTCAACTTAAAAAGATCTACTTTGATTTCATGTTTCCTCAAAAAAACTGTTTAAGCAAGAGAATTTTCACCACCAAAAAACAGGTTTGAAGTTCATGATCCTTCTAAGCACATTTGGATTCCTGACTTGAATATCACCTCTTCTCTTTTAGCCCGTGCTGTATTTTCCTTCAATCCAGGAACCAGATTGTCCACTTCATTCATGATCACACCAACCACACCTGCTATGAAATCCAAGTCTCTCATAATCGTCTATCACTGCTCCTGATTTGACTGGTTTACACTCCTTCGTGCTGACCATAGCCAGTTCCAAAATACTTTTCTTGTGGACTTTTCTTGCTGTGAACTGGATCAGACCAGTTTGCTCTACTTCATACCGGCCATGACCGGCTTGTAGTCTGTCCTGCTGGTGTAATCCAAGTCTCCGTCTCCATCTCCTTCCTCCTCTCCCTCGTCCTCATCTTGTCGAAAGAGAGGATTGCAACGGGAGAGATTCAACTTGCAAGGCAGCTGCTCTTGGTGCAGGGCATAATGATGGACTAGTCTTGGCAAATCAGCAAAGTCTCGGCCAAAACCCTGCCCAAACAAAATAATTAAAATTCCTTTAAGCAAACATACATGCTTCAGGACAAAGACAATCGACATCTCATCAATAAATGAAGTTAGCACCACCAACCTTTACATCATCTCAAGATATAGGTTGCCAAACTGTTTAATAACAGGGAGATATAATACTACTCAGCTGTCAACTGGCCATTAAAATATAATCACCTTGATGGTGTATCCACCGTTCTTGGTACGGACTACTAGGTAATTGGCGATACCAGTCTCATTGAAATCTCCATCTACCTTGATGGAGAGAGCAAAGCATCCTGGGTGACTTTTACTCTCTCGGACAATAAACGCTCCACGTTCCTCCTGTTGAAGTATCTCAACAGCGATCTCTCTAGAAAGAGTAAAAAAAAAAAGACCTTTTGTTTCCTATTTTGTTTCTATGTTTAGTAACATTTATTTCTAAATCACAAAAGATGCAAATGACTACTGGAGAGAAAAATCAAGTCAAGACGAGGTGGCCAAAACCCCCAAAATCTTGTGTAGGGTGTGCCGTGCATAGCAAAGCACATGATACAAAAACAAACACACAGAAACTTAAGTTGTACGTTCTCTCCCGAGGAAGGCCAGAGTACACTGGCTGAAATCTCGAGACCTGCTCTCACTGGTTCTTTTTAGAACCACACCTCTTCACAAAAGAGATATTCCCCACATGGTGTACCTTTTTGTTTAACACTCCCACCATGCAAAGCTTCAAATCTTACTTGTACGGTGTATGTACACACTATAAACATGAAACTAGAGTATGTATTCAGGCATCAAAGGATGGAGTTGAAAGAAGTTGAGTTAGGCCGTGACCGAAATGGGCTTCCAGAGCTAGGGCTAGGTCTCTTGTCTGCGCGTCTCCACACATTTCCAATGGAGCAAAGACCTAGCTCTAGACAAGAGATTCGGATGCGGCCTTAAACAGGATTAGATAATAGTGTTTGTATACAAATTAGAAGATATAACATTAAGGGAAGGTATAACGCCGTAGTGTAGGAACTTGCTGTCCTGAAAGAAAGAGGTAAAGCATTAATTTCGGAGTGTATTCAACTCCAGCAGACAATGGAAATCTTAAACTGTTTTGCACAAATTTACCTACATTGTCAAGCGCTGGGAAAACACAGACAAAACCCAACAAACCTGAACCCACCCTGCACAAATTAAAACACTTGCAAAAATAATGTGCAGATATGTTCACAGGAATATTGGAAGATACACAATGACTTGTAACAGTGTTGAGAAGGGGTAGCTTGCATGCATCGTCATGGACCAGACAGTCATCACATGACTAGGACAAGTCTCATGACAAGTCAGGGTATCGTCTGATCTGGGTCATAATCCATGAAACTGGGTGTGGCAGTTATCAGAACAATGACCTATTTATTTGGCCTAGATAGCCCCTAGCTTGTCTTTAAGAGTGGAAATATCATACTTATGGAAAATTAAAGAGTCAAAATCCCCTGGCCGGTAATAACCAACATGCCCTATTTGAAAGGGTATTGCGCTGAGACTATTTATAATGAATAGTTGGTGTACACTTCTGAATATTCATCACAAGAAATTGTGTCTGGATATCTAATGAATTTGCATCAACCGAAAAACTTGCATATTGAATATTAATGAGACGTTATACTGGATGCTATTGTAAACAAGATATTTGTTTGAACCTCGACCAACAGAGAGGGCCATTTTTTTTGCAACGGAGGCTCCTTTGGTCGGAGTTGAACTTTGCTGGTTCATGAACGACTAGGAAATGAGGACCCATTGCTACCGACAAACTGAACACTCCTGACCAACGGAGCTCTTTTCAACTGATGAGGGGGTCCTTCTGCTCAAGGGGGGAACTGATACAAAAGCGGTGGTCAAATATTAATGTACATGTACTTATGCAAAAACAATGTATGCTATGCTGTTATCCAACTGCTCCATTCTATAAAACTTGTCTTTGCAAAGTTTTCATCTGACGTTTTGAAGTCCTACAAAGTTTCAGAAAAAGTGCAGAAATACATACAAGGGCTAAGTTTTAGGAGTTGGGAAAGAGTGTGGTTCCTTTAGCTGATATCTGTGTGAAAGCGGAGCCTCTTTAATCAGAGAACTGTCATATTCACCCTTCCTGGCTGTCAGCCAGAGCTTAGAAGTCCCCCGCCACTAAACTACCTCGAGGATCTGCAAATGATTTGATTAAACTTAAACAGCAATCATGAGAAACATCTTGGCATTAGGGAGTTTAAAGGAATTGAAATGGTGACAGCCATTGTGGAAGGGTTTCCTGTCAATTAACCCGCCTTCCTGATAGAGGAGGGTGTATCTTATGATGCCTTTTGTTGTGCTAACTGGATTAAGCCTGTCTGGTTGAATGAAATTACTGCCACATTTTTGGGTAAGAATAATATCTACATAGGTAATATTTACAAACAGAGAAAAAAGGAGATGGCGACCACTGTGTGCATCCCCACTACAGAGCGATCCATTTCTTAGGGGTCTGCCAAATCTTTACAAAGTTTAAACATACATGAACAAATTGCAAAATTGGCATGCTTGGAAAGCAGCCCATGTCAAATCTTTAAAGAAGGACAGACGACATAAAGGAGAAAGGTTACTCTTTATGCTAATGATTTCACAACTCATGAACTGTCTGAGAGTGCATGTCCAGGTGACTTCACTTTCTTATTAATTAGGCTGAAAATTAAAGAATTAGACTGTGTCCTTCAAGTGTCCAGGTTGCAACCCAGAGTATTAAAACTATACCTTCAAGTTGCACAGATGAAAATCAAAGTTTCAACTGCCCAGGATGTATTTTTAAAGGGTACTAAACATCTGGCTGTGATGTAACCTACATGTACATTTTTGAGGGTCTTTTAGTGTTTAGACTGCTCCTTTAAAGTCAACAGAGGTTGCATTTTTAATGGCTTCTGCTTCAAAAGGGTGCTAAAGTTGCACCTTTAAACCACACAAGTTACATCTTCAGGCTGATGAAATCCTTATGCCACCTTTACAAAGAGGTCATGACCCCCAAAGGCTCTGCTAGTGACCTAGTCAGACAGGAAGGAGGTGGGAAAAGCTACTAGGTGCAGGATAATAAATTTCCCGGACCACACCTTCACGTACCTGGGTACTCCTGCTTTGAACCAGGGTGCTTCAGTCACATCTTTGTACTGAATAGGGTTGCCATGGGCACTGCTTCCATCTTGGGACATTCCATTCTCCACAAGGGATGTTGACCTATAAAGAATTCATGCCAAAATAAACTTGATTACGCCTCGAGAAATGTTTTACAGCAATCTATAAAGTGTAACAATAACAGAAAAAGAAATCCGTCAAAAAAGGCAATTTAATCCAAGTTATGTTTATAATGCATAGTTAAACCATCTCAGAGCAATTATTTATCTAAAATTAAGTTTTTAAAGTTGCCATTTAACAGCCCAAAATGTAAACCTTTCATTTTATCATTAACCTTGCATTACAATAAAAACATTCACTCTAATTTTTCATTTTGGGAGATTTTTAAGGCACAAAACTGCATTTGCGCCCAATTACAGTTCCAATCAACCATTTCCTAAAATTAATGCTGAAGACAAATTTCAGCAAGCAGCTGAGGAAACACGGGGTTAGGGTTCAGTGACAGGAAATGGAAATGTCAGGGCCTGAGAATCCTGTTTGGAAAAATGTGACCTTTAATTAGCATTCTCATGGATGTGATGACATGCCGAAATGTTAGCGTTATCATTCTGTGGCAGGTACACAAATAAAGCAACCAGCAGATTCTGGTACTCTTGGTAAATTTCCTTTCAATTTTAAAATCAGCAGACTAAGACCGTGTCCAAAACGGGCTTCCAGAGCTACGGCTAGGTCTGTTGTCTACGCATCTCCACGCATTTCCAATGGAGCGAAGACCTAGACCTAGCTCTAGACAAGAGATTCGGATGCAGCCTGAGTGTATTACTAAAAAAAAAAAACCAAATTCTGCATTTTTTCAAAATCTGTTTTGATAGTTAATAAACTGAATCCCACATTGCTGTATTTGTTCTGAAATGATAACTTGGCATTTGGCAATGACAAACACCTTTTTATAGTTGACCAAACATGAATTCAATTTAACTTTTGCAAAGAGTAAATTGCACTAATGAGCAATATCTTGATTGACCTACATAGTCTTGTGAAATACTACACAACTTAGCCACACATACATGTACACATCATTTCCTGTGGATCTTTTCAATCACTCCATAAAAAGAGGAGAAAAAACAGGTGTGTGCATCCAAACTTGACCTATTTCTAAGCGTACTGGGAAGTATGTGGTCCACCGCATTAAATTGAAAATTTCTGGTTTGCGGAGGGGGCACAGAAAGCAGATTTTGCCATAGTTTTTTTTTTAACTTTCCATTCCATTAGCTTTTAAAACAAACACCCCTCAGCCAAGCACAACATCATACTTGGATGGGTTAAAACACCAAGACGGCCAGGGTTCTGAGGTAATGAATGTGGGGATGTTAAAACTTTATCATTATCTTTAAAACCTAGGGTAGACATTTGTAAAGGTTACCCACTCGCAGGAGAACGCCACTTTTAATGACTACAGTGGAATCAATGACTAATACCTTTAAGAAAGAGATAGCTTAGCCATGGTCTCTTCAATGGTTGCATGTGGACATAAACATACAAGTATTTTCTGAAATACATGACATGTACAGCTGGGGCAAAAAGTTTACATACCTAGAAGACCACAAATGTTTTCCTCAGATTTCACAACTTCACTCATTCCTACAAACTTTTCTTTTCATGAGGACAGACAAGATGGGTCTCTACTTAATGTACATGGTGAATGGCTCAAATGAAAACACCCAGAGACATAAACAGGTGTCTGATTCATATTTATATTTACAAAAAACAAAATTTACATACTCTAACCCTAATATTTAGTGCCACTTGCAGTTTTTGGGGGTCACATCTCACAGTCGCAGTGGACCACTTTCAGAAGTGTTTTTGAACGATAATAAAGGGGTAAATTTTCACAAAATGATTATTCAGAAATATTAATATTTCAAACCATAATGACTGTCTCCGAGTATTTTCAATTGAAGTACACACTATTAACATTAAGTTGAGATACAATTTGTCTGACCTCATAAAGAAAAGTTGGCAAAACTATTTCAAACAACGAAAAATTTAGGAAAACTGTTTTTCTACCAAGTGTAAGTAAACTTTATGCCCCAACTATATGTGAACAGTTCATACACAATGAAACGTCTTAATAAAATAACCAGATAAACCAAGAACTGTACACGCCCAGAACAAAGTCGCTTTTGAATGAAATGGTATACATGTATATACATGTATGCACGTTGGCAGTCGAAAATAGACACTTTATATTATCCAATTTAAATCTTCAAACTTCTGTCAATTTTAGCTGAAGTTGATATGAACAGAGTGAGAGAATGTTTGTCGCATTTATGTAACAAGTCATGTGACCGGAAATTTTTATGTAAAGCTGGGGAGAAAGTCCCTTGGGTTTTTGCCGCAGAGACTTTGAATCTAGTGATGAAATTGCTCAGATTAAAGGAGTTGATTTTGGCAGCTTTGGCCATCTTGAGGAAGGCCTTTGGAAACTGTGTCTGGGTCATACCAATAATGATCCTGAGGAAACACGGATGTAGGGCAATTGTCTACTATTCCCAGTGTGCCTATACAGGAAATGGGCCTGGCTCGGCTCCTCAAGTTCAGTGTCTCTAAACTCATCTGCCATCACCCAAGTTGGGCCCAGATAATGATGACAAGGTCTTGAACTGGGGATAGTGCCGAAAGGAGAATGTTCCATTGGAGAGTTCAGCACAAGTCCTTCCTTCAATCTGGTCCATCTAAAATTATCCCTATCCACCTCGAGCAGAAGCACCCCCTCATTGGTTGCAAAAAGCCACATTGGTCAGGAGTATTCATTTTATTGTTAGTGATGCAGTTCAGTTCTGACCTAAGAAACTTGCAACCTCCAATGGTCCAGCTCGAGGCTCATTCAGTGCTGTAATCAAATCTATCACGAGTCCTAACAGCCCAAAGCAGTTCATCAAAAGCCTTCAAACTCTGCAAGTCTAACCCAAGTCTGCAGAATGAAATTCATGTCACAGGCTGCTAGAATGAACTGCGACAATATATCATTGTCACTGTTCATCCATTTGAATGATCTTGTGAAAGAGCTTCTAAATGGATTTAGGAAAGGATTTCCAGCTGAAGTTGTTAGAGAAGAACTCGACATTGAACATGTGAGAACTTTTAAGGACTGCTATCGTGATTTCCACTAATATGAGCCTTGAGCTGGACCGATAGAGGGTGCAATTTTCTTGGCAACGGAAGCTCCTTTGGTTGGAACTGCACTTCGCTAGTTCAAGAACAACTTTGAAATGCCCGTGTTACGGTTGCATTGCTACCAACAAAATGAACACTCCCAACCAATATGGCTCTTCAACCAATGAGGGGGTGCTTCCACTTGAAGCAGATACCCTGATACACTGGATTCCAGCCAGGTTAATGCATAGGAAACTTGCTGCTGCAGTGATTGAAAGATACATGTATCTGTTCACGTTCCTCCCCCTCTTCCCTTAAGTTTTCCAATCAATGTTTCTGTAAACCTTCCAATACTGAACGAAGAGATTAAAACAACTTGCCTGTGCAAGTTCCACACTTTTGTATTTTACAAATGCCTTGAATGTACCAACAAAAACAGACCAACAAATTCATGCAACATGAAAAGGAAAAAACAAATGGTAAAAAGTATCTGCACAAACCTTGGTGGCAGCGGTGGAGCAATACCATTATTGCTCACTTTCTTGCATCGAAATTTCCCAATCTCCACCTCCACCTTGTGACCCACGTGACCCGGTGACCTTCCACCTGATCTCTGACTGGCGGTGGACGCCTGACCTTTAAGTAACCTCTGACTGACCGCAGCTGCTCCGGCAATGTCGAGCGATTTGGGTGCGGCGAGAGCTCGACTCACTGCCTCCCCGCCACTGCTAGATACAGATGATGCCGAGCGTTTGAGGTTATTCTTCTCACTTGATTCGTCAACATTTACCAACCGATTTACATCGGCGCTGGGTATGGGCGGAGCAGGACCTTTCCCGTGCCCCACTTTACCAGCGTCTACAGGGATTGGAGGAGCAGGTGCCTTGGCTTTTCTCGGCGTTGGTTTGGGTTTGTCCCTGCCTGGCTCCTCATTTGCATTCTGATTAATATTCATAGCTTGACCATTCAAATGAGCTACTTGATCCTCTTGACAAGAAAGTTTACTTAACCTCTGACTTTGATTATTTATAGGTGGAGATGACCTTTGACCTTGCACATCATCGGTGGATAAGTCACCTTGTTGCATGCTCCTGTGTGGTATTGGTTGTGGTATGTTGACGCTGTCCGGGGCACTTACACTGCTTTCGTCTGAGAGTTTCTTAATGTTGTTGTTAATGGATACCGAGTCCTGTTGCTCGGAGTTCCCTTCAGATTGCACATCATCAAATGGTCTTTCACTGGGCTCCTTAGAAACCGGAGATGGTCTCAGATCAGGGTCTAACCAATCGCCCGAGATGTCACATGTTGCGTTAATAAACTGTTCCAAAATGGCATAGCTCCGGTCATAATCAAACGAGTCTCGATCTGAGTACTCACTTAGTCTGTTCTCAGAGTAACCATTGCCGTAACCATAGCAATCATCCTCCTCCTTGTTGGGTTTGTAGGTGAATGGAGGAGGCACAGTAGAGTCCTGGAGGAGGATTTGTCCCGGGGTGTGAGCTCGATGGGTCTCGATAAGTGCCATGCTGCTCCCAGACGATGATGCTGCTGCCTGATCCTTCTGTAGCACAAGGTGCTTCGTCTTCTGTTCGTGGATGATCGAGAAGCCAGTCGTGGGCAAGGCGATGGAACGAGCAGTCCACTCGTTACAAGGCTCTACCTCATAGTAAGGGGCAGGAGGGAGAGCAACTGTCCGCTGTGTTTGCTTAAAAGCAACCTAGCAGGAAAAAGAAAAGTAGTGTTAATCCTGGAAGAAAAAGATGATAAATAAGTGGGAAATGATGGAGCCAAAATCAAGGCAATAACCAGCAATCCAGTCTCTCTACTCAGCAAAGGACGGGCTCGTCAATACTGATTTGAATGATTTTTATGCCATTTGAGATGATCAAAAATGCACTTGTTATGCGTTGCCTATACCGGTACATACAGCATGGAAGAAAAACCTGCTCACAGATTAAAATCAACAATTCACAGACTGCCACATTACATGCATGTCAGGCAAATGCTTTGCCTTCAGAATTAACCATGCTTAAAACAAAAACTCCAAATCACAACCAATACTGTCATCTTCCTGCGCAAAACTGTAGAAGACAAAATCATGTGAGCAAACGTAGCAGGTTGCTGAGCTCTGCTTCAGGGAAAGCAGGACACAGTAATATATAAAGTAGTTTCCTGCAAGGAGGGAAATCAAAACACCAGACCACTCACACAACAAACAGGCAATGTATAGTTTTTGCTGTTAGAAGACCGACTGACAACATCTCCTCACAAGGAAGCACAGGCCACAATAAACAGCCAAGCCAAATGTTTCCCCCGCACTTGTTTGGGGCCCAACTCACGTAGTCGAAATGATGAGTAACCCCCCCTTCCCTCTACAAACTTACTCGTCTAAGAATGCTCTCCCCGCCACAGCACAGGCCGAATGGCAAATAGTTCCACGTGTCCATGTGTCAAGGATGTCACACAAACCGCAAAAACGTTGTTCGCAGGCCGACAGCCAGGCAGTGTGTGTGTGCATGTGCAGACACACTACAGATCTCTTGCCGACCGTGTAAGAGCTGGAAATTCTGGTCAGAATGGACCCCCCCTAGGGTGGGATTGGTACGGAACGGACTGTATCCTGGCAATGAAGGAAGGCCGATTAGGCCCTGTATCCTGCTCTTGTTATGCTTTGGGGGCTGACCAATTTGGAAAATCACTTCTGCTGTCTGGGCTGTCAAGCTCTGGTGACATCTAATGAATATTCATACTATGAGCTCTTTAATAATTCATAAGCAGTGGGTTGGACCAATGACCGGCTCATGTACCATTGGAGGCTGTCTAAGGGTCCAGTATCATGCAACAGTTACGGATTGGGATCACTTCTACATTCTCAGCTGTTGCACTGTTGGCTATTCATAAATTTGCATATTCAAAAGGTCATTCACAATAGCTTTCTATCCTGGGTTACCACGCTTGTTTCACATGACAACATGGATGTATTTTGGGGACTGACTATAAACTTGTCAATCTACTCCTACTGTGAAAGATGTGGGCTGCACTGCCTTGGATAGGAGTAACGTCTTTGATGAGCTGTGACAGTCAGGTCTACATCATGCAACATGCATTCATCTTTTCTTCAAACCAGTTAAAAAATTACAAAAAAGGCTCAGCAGTAACATGACTGTTGAAGTCCATGCAGGCAAAGACATATTCCACACATGTTCACATTAATTCACGGCCTTCAACCTTGTTTACACTTCGAGCACAGGCAAGGTCATGTGACAGACTACGGACTTACGTGCGACATCCTTTTCCTATTGTTGAGATCCTGTGGGGCACCAATAAGAGAAGTACATGTATGCATATTTACCCACGTATGCATACTCAATTTGCATACAGGTCATAAATATTCATTCCAGATATTGCAACAGATGGCCTGGTTACCTCTTCCGTTTGTTGTGAAGCCAAGACTAAGACACAAACTCTTGACCCTTTAAAGACATAGCTGAGAGGCCTTGTTTCAGATGGGAGTAGGTAAAATCAAGACAGAAGGATGCTTTGCAATAACGTACAAAAATCAGTAGCAGAGAGGATTGTTCTTTTCAAGCTTGTTAACTGTTTATGTTCAGAAATAATTTCAATCAGCATCATGATTTCACTTCACAATTTCAAAAATGTCATCATTTGCACAAGATTTTCCAAGGTATGCAGATTTTAAAACTAAAAAAATGAAGCTACTTTTTCAAATGTTCAGGTTCAACTTTCTGTCTCTGGAGTTACTCCTTGTGATCCATGGTTTACTTTTTTTTCAACCTAACTCTCCATGAATATCTGCTTGGACCCTCTAAGATCCTTCAAACTCTTTCAGTGAGGAGGGAATCAATGGCCTGGACTTTGTAATTAGCTTTCAAAGGGCAAAAGAATTTAAGTAACAATACTTTGGATCTATTCTTAGTCATGTCGAAATCCTTCCAAATTCCTGTTGGATTCTTGGTGGATCCACCAGGACTTTGGCCATCGTAAATTCCTGGTGGATTTTGGAAGATCTTGTAGGGTTGGAGTTTTATTTACTAGCTGTTTACGACTACTGAGCCTCAGCCTCGATGAGACTACTTTGTGTGCACTTGAGACAGTTGCGCAAAGAGAAAGAAATGTGTTCACTTAATAATAGTGTGCTTCAGGCTTTGTCAGAACCTGACTTCAATTTGTTGTTGCCATGGAAAATGGCACTTTAAGTCACCCAAGAGACAGTTCCAGGGAACGCCAATAAACCCACCTGCATGACTTCAGATATGCAAAGCCAATGGCCTACATTACGATGGCCAAATAACATTTTAAAAAACAGGTGAACAGGAAATAATAGAGTAGTAATCCCAGGATAGGGATAACAGCCAGCAAATGTCAATGTTGTGTGGGGATGGGGTGATCTGAACTCAAAATAAAGCGCCAGTAGACACAACCGATGGGACTGTTGCAACTCGGAACAATGAGTTCCAGGCCTGACATGATGCAGTGGGACATGATATATCTCCAAACGATTGCAGTTCCTTTTTGTATTACGGTACCTCGCCATGGAAACACAAAACTTTCGGGGCAGTATCGTAGCAGAAGCTGTGATCTGGAATGATGAAGGATCACTAGGGACTTGGCCATCTTTCATAAAAGGTCCTTTGGAGAATAAGATGGCTGACAAACGCTTGCCCGTACATGTGAGCAACAACTCTGAAGAATACGTTAATATTGTCATCTACTAAAATGTGAAGTCAGTAATGCAAAAAAGACTGAGCTAAAAAAAATCAAAGCCTGAATAAGAGAGCAGCTGCCTTCCAAAAGCCCCTGATGAAGATTTCTCCCCATAAGAAATCAACAACTACAAAGGAAGTGACATTTTGGCATCTTAGACCTTTTCAGTAATATATATAAAAAAAAGGATAAATTCAAATCATTTTTACTGCCATTTGAAAAATCAAATCCAGAGAAACTTTAAACGGTCTCCCAAACTACTAACACCAATTCCTCTTTTCTGTGGTCACAGGGAAATTTGGGACAACGTTAATAACCTGTTTGTAAACAGCAGTAAATGCTAACAGGAACTTTTTTCAATTGAGCTTGTGAAATGTGACGTAGTCCCCGGAGTCACATGACTCCATCCATCTTGCAATTCCCAACAGAAACTTCACTTCCTTTCATGGACATACATGGTACGGTAACGCTTTGAGGAAACGTGATCACTCCAGCAGAATATAAGTGTACAGACTGTGGGCACGTTTCAGAGCCTGAACCAGAAAATAAGAAGGCATTACAGCAGATTTTTACCTCGCAAATTCAAACCAAATTCAAAATTCTGCCACGCAGTTTGTGTTAACATTAAGTATGTCTTTTTGTAAGAGGTGGTGTTATTCACAGCACAGTACGCCCAGTGCTTTGCAAGCCTGTGAGAAAAACTGCTCAAGTTATCTTAAGTTAGCATGCTTCATGCAGCAATTACCACTTTAATACAACCTTTTGAAAGGGGTGACATTTAGTAGCAGGTTACAAATATAGAAAAAACTGTAAAGCAAAGATAACCCAATCCATCATCTCCACTCAATGTTAGAGGGGGTATAGGTAAGTACATTTTACGAGGATGTATTTTAGTATCTTTTTGGCACTCCATGTTAAAGAAAAAAGAAGGATGTTGCAGAATAATGTGGAAACTTCAGTACTAATCAATATAAATGAACTGTAATTTCTATGCTGAATCTTAGGCTGCAGCATTTTCCAAGCAATCTTCCCACATCCACCAGCCATTAAAGCAAAACCACGGTATGTTCTTGGTACCGGGTAATTAATGCCGTAAGTTTTCAAGGAATATCAAATCCCATATGAAACAAAAGTACCTGGGATCTACCCACCCTTCAGGTAAAAATTTTGCTAAACTTTCCAGTTTTCTTTTTAAACCTCCCAAAGCCTTCTGATGGACTTTAAAGGAGTTTGGAGGTTTTATAACTACCTATTAATGCTAATACTCACTTCTGCTTCCATGGTGGGAGCTGAAGGCTGTACCTCTCCTTCCTCAATATCCTCCTCTGTCACCCACTCAAACTCCTCTGCCGAGTCTCCAGATTCCGCACTGTTGATGCGGGCATTCCGGGAGGCCGATGCCCCCATCTGCGCTTGACTACTGGAAGGCCGCTGACTTTGGCTTGAGGCAGAAAAGTTTACTGGTGATCGGCAGTGATTTGGAGGTGGAATTGTTACTTGGAGGGCAGGATCTATACCAGCAATAATGTGGGGCTGCTTGTGTTGTTTACGCCCAGCTACTTGTTTGGCCTATGTGGAAATAAGACAAACGTCTAAAGAACAAATGCAACTGTGCTGATTAAAACTGTTTTAATAACTACATTAAACTTATTAATAGCAGAAGGTTCCGTATATCTACATGTAATTCACAGTACCTCATTCTGAATATCAAATAAAAAAAAACAAAAAAACTAGCAGCCCCAAAAAATCAAATTCAAAAGCATGATTGATAAGACCGTTAGAAACCGTTAGAACCATCCAAAAGTGGAAGTTTGAAAACCAATTCAACATGTGTACACACCTTTAACAGGACTTCATTGTAAATCCCCTCCAGACCCAATTCCAGGGGTTTTAAGACAATAAAACAAAATTACCGGCCGAACTTTAAGGTGTCTGCCGTTTGTAGGTCAATTGTCTAGCCGGGATGGGTACCGTTTCCTTTTTTGATAGACACCATTTATCCCGATTGAATCCCCGCCCTTAAAAAGTTAATCAGAAACTGCCCCATGTGCGTCAGTTCAATGAAGAACTTCGGAGACTGTGTTCAGAAGAAGAGAAGTTTGGCGGGGTGTGGAGGGGAAGAGATCGTGGGCCGTGGCTTATGGGTGGGGCTCAGTGGGAAGGAAAGATTCATGAACATGAATGGAGCACTGATCAATCCAATGTATAGCCCAAAACCACAACTTGCTGCCTAATACAATCAGTACATTGTCTCATTTTGGCTTATGCAGAATGAGTTTGGTGGAATTGAAGATCTCCGTCTTGAATTTGAATCCATGCTACGACCATTTGCCATACGTATTTTTTCCTGGCTTTGTAGAATTACTTTCTACATTTTTACATCAACAACACCAATTTAACAGTTCTGAGATATATTCAACTTTTTTCCCATTGTAAAGTTTGCTGAAGACAAAAGGTATATATTCCACAAAATATCAAGATTTTGGTAAGTGTACTGGTATATAATCACTTGGAACTACGAAAAATTGTACACATACAAAATAAATGTATGTAGTCTGATAAACTTCAGCAGGCTTAGCTAATTTCACCAATGAAGAGGGTTGTTATCGGACATTGGCACTAGATTTTCTGATCGGGCAAAAGTCGAGAGAGTTACATGTAAGTATGCTATAATTCATCCTGTCCTGTAAGATTTGCATCCCTCCTCCAGATGTATAGCTGACCGAGTGAAAAAATGAAGAACGGTGCCTTGGCTCCCCTGTATTGAACTGACAAGCAATTACTTCTAATTTGCACTCCGGTAATCCCTCCAAATCCTGTATTTGCCCTTCCAAATCCCCGGCGAACACCCACATAGCCCCTCCCTACCCTGCCCGGTGAAGATACTGCAGCATCACGGCCAGCACGAGGAAGGACCTCATTTGACCTCATTAAGGGGCAAGGGCCAGGAGACGATTCACAGAAATCAGACCTCTGAAATATCTGACTCGAAAATTTCATAGCCCTTTGAATGTAAAGAAGAAATAACATCATAGGCTCCATGTACGGTAAATCATTGCTGTGTGTTTCTCGAGGGTTCCAGAAGTCAAAGGGAAGGAAATGGTGTTCTTGTGTCTCTCAGCAACCTTAGTTGCTGCAGTTACTTTGGCGCGCTTGTAAGGGGACCGTAAGGCAGAGGCTGTGAGTCGTGGAAAAAACACAGGTTGATGTACAGTGTATGTCTAAAAATCAAGTATTGCATTGCATGGCCTGAATTGGTGCAACGTGTGGTAGTAAAACAACCCGAATCCATGGAACTCTTTTTTACAGTTGTGTGCAACACCACAAGTAATGATTACAGGTTCTTCCTCACCCTGAGTGACACAGAGACCCCGGCATTTGCCGCACATACTCTTAGGTTTCAGTTCAGCCAGTGGTCTTCCTGCATAAACTGACAGGCCCAGACCATACCTTTCTCCAAAATTTGTCTTATGAGACTACACCTGTTTGCGGCGACGCTTTTCCTTGCGATGCCACACACCGAACAGAAACCTTGAGGAGGGATTTCCAGTGAACACAAGAGCGTAATTTGTTATTTTCCTGCACAATGGAGCAGGACACTGCCCTATATGAAAGTGTTTACAGAAAAGAAAAATAGTGATCCTCAACATTTGTCAATCTGAAACATGCTCATAGGATTCATGTGTTTAAAAAACTTCAAAACTGTAAAGCAAGAAGTCATTTTAAAACTTATTCTAAGTGAAAAGTATGTAGAATTGATTATATTTGTCATCTGTAAAGAATTAGCGGTGTTAAACTGAAGCAGGATTGAAACTCTAACCTCTTTCCTACCAATGCATTATCTAAACAACATTCTTCTAAGCCTATGTCAGCTATTTTCTACATTTGCTTCATTTCCTCTCTAACACTTTCTTCAACCATCTCCTTCAACACATACACACTGTAAACAGAACAAGACTCTTTAAATGGCCACTGGATGTGATTTTACAACTTCATTTTCTCCAGTCAAACTGCCATTTGTTATTTTGAGAGTGGACATAAGGTCTAAGACATATCTCACGGTATGTCAAATGTTAAAGCTACCGGTGAAAGAGATTTATACCGTCTATAGTAGTAGTATGTGTGTAGAAACTACAGCCAACTTCACAATGAAGTTGCAGTTAAAGGTGAACTTGTGCAACAACCAATCAATTATGACATCAGGCACAAGTATGTACTCATAACCCTTTTTCATTTAAGCAGGTGTTTAGGTTTCCAGAGTACTTGACCCCGACTCAGCAAGTTTGTGAGAATAAACAGATTTTAAAAGAAGCATCCTTGGCAGTGTAGGAATTGAATTCACTGCCAGTCCTCTGACAAGTCCTTTCACAAGACCAGTCATAAGTAATATGGTGATCAATGACAAAAGAATGCTTTTGTCCCAGCTCATTTGAATAGCTTGTGAATGAGCTTAGGATGCCATGATTTATGATGGACTCGAATACAACACTGATCCCTGGTATGGTACATATGATGCATGTTCTTTACTAAAACATGTAGCACCAAAGCCAACATTCGCAAAATTCTGAAGTCACCAAGTAATAGCATTAATGCAGACATTGGTTCAGAAGGGAACAAGAGGGCGCTCTTTCCTTTCTTCAAGAAGTCAGTGGTTGAAGTGGTTGCATGGACAATGCTGGCCAACAGAGGGCCTCCTTTACACTGACCAGGGGAAGCCTATCATACATGTACACTGAGCACAAGACTCACTGTATCTGAAGTTGCTTCCATGCCCTCGAGCATACATTTCCTTTTCTTCTTTGCTTGATTCTTGGCCTAAAATTACCAATGTTTACTGAAGACTAACGTTCCCCAGATCCTTTTTTCCCTGCCAAATGAAAAAAAAATTCCTTTGGGCCAAACTGCAAAAACGGTGGATCACTGTTGACATACATGTACATGTGTGTAAGTGAATACACTCTTATTCCTGAACTTTTTTTGAACAACACAGGACTGTTTAACGACAGATATTACGGGGACCAAATACGTACAGATATAACAAGGTCCAGACAATCTGGTCCAGTGTCCAGAGAGTAACTGTCCCCTCAAAGTGCTTCTGCTTTGGACATGCTTGTACACCTGCCAATTTCTCACTTTCATCTCCCAGACAATTTCAACAGCCCTGGTATCAAAGGGGATGATGTCACAATTTTCTTTTCTTCCTAAATGTGGGTTAAGTGGTCCCGCTACGCTGACCCCGTCATCCTGGACCTAGAGAAGACCTGGGAGGAAGGCGACGTGAGCACGCCCCTCATCTGCTTCCTGAATATTTCTGGCTGAGAGTATGTTGGGTGCAATCAGTCGATGAGTACGACTGTGCAATCGTGTTGCAAAATCAGTTGATCCTGTAAGAAATCTCCGACTTGACTTCCCATTTTCAAAATAATCTTCCACAACCGCAAATTAAAAAGAAAAGGCAACTGGCTGAAGATGGAATTATTGGCAAACTGTGCAATAAGATTGATAGATTACACAAAGATGAGTGATCATGCCAAGCGACCAACTGTGCCCAATATGTCTACTCCACTCAAGTTCCCACACAAATATCTTGAATCCATTGACACCAACGAGGACATGAACAAGACTCTTTCATCTTTCTAGAACACAATAAAACAAGACAGAAGAATGTTCAGTACCCACCCAGACTCTTCCTTGGCCAACGACGAGTTCTCTCTCTCGCCCATCTATCCAGCTGCCAACCCGAGTGACAACATTCTGCTGATGAGTAATCTGGGCAAAGTACTCCTCTTGCTCACGATTGAGCTCCTCAATCAGCTCAAAAAATTGCTTCTTACTGCGGAGGCTGGCGTAGGCAACCTTGAAGGCCTTGCCAACGATGGCATTTATTTCTTCTGCCTGCAACGAGACAAGATGAATGAGACGGTTGAAACTACCGGTACCTGTACATGTACTTGAGAAAGCAGGTGTTAAGCTGTTTACAATCAGACAGTTTGATCCAGTTCTTTTGGGAGACATCAATTCAAGTCAGAGAACAATGGTTTATGAAAATTCCTCACAGACCACTACATCTGGAACTCAAAGAAACAGAAAAAAAATTGACTGAAAGTGGAAAGCTAACTCATTTGAATGGACCGACCAAGAAAAGGCTATTGTTCCAGGTACATGTATAAACTTTCCAGTTGCTGAAAGGCCATGCTGTCTCCCTAATAATCAATTCACTGCAGTAGGCTTTATCGTTCATGATACCCATGGTAACAAGATGTGGAAAAATTGTAATGCTCACTTGCAATCCATACACGGCATGAATGTCATTACCAGTTGTTCATTAACTATGAAAAAATGGCAGATGTCTCAGGCTGAAGATTTTTGTATCATTTGACAAAGAGCAAATAAACTCAAATCAAACTAGCACAGCCCATATGGTCATGGATAAAAATAAAAGCAAGGGTGATTGAGAAATGCTGACTGTATCTACAGTATTTTCAGATATTGCAGAAATCTCTGAATATGTACTGTTCATTTTTGCCCACCAGTTTACTTTTCTGCAATTGGTGAAAGATAAAATAGAATTGTAAGATTTCTAAAACAGACCCAAAACCACTGCAATGTACACTGCCCACAAAGTGTTGCCGCAAGATCTTGGCTGTGATGTAAAGTGTCGTAAAAAGTTACGTATGACTGTCTGATCTCCCCTAGTAATGTCATTTTTTTATTATGTTACCTCCTGACATGAAGGCCATTCATGTTTTTAAAAAGACACAAAGTTATTATTATGCTTTACATTCCTGTTTGAGGTTGCAATTAAAAAAATTAAAGGAAAACATGATTTCGCTGATTTTATCTGTTTAAATAAATATGGAAGCATCCAAATTGAATGCAGTGTCATTTGTCTTCAGAGCGCAACTATAACAAGCTTAAAAGGGCTTTTTTCTGTTCATGCCAAGATGCGATTTCTGAATATAGATTGCGTCAATCAGAGAAAACAGAGAAAACGGGGTGAATCTTCGTCCTATGTTTTCATATTTAATGATGCAGGTGGAACTGTTCAGATGGTTATTCAGTTTATGGTGAGACACGCGAGGACAAATGTTCTCAAGCAGTGTTCTGCCATATTTATTGATGCTAAGGGGAGGATGAGATGTGTTGTTGCTAAGGAAGATGAGAGTTTGCAGGAACCAAAGCCAATAAAATGATACAAAGAGCAAAAGGCCTCAAGCTGAACCCAAAGAGGGCACTTTTGTCTTAGCAACTGAGGCTCCTTTGATTGGAACTGAACTTCGCTAATTTATGAACAACTAGAAAATGCACTTGTCACGGTCGTACCACTACCAACAACACTCCCGACCAACGTGGCTCTTTTCAACTGATGACGAGGATGCTTCTCCTCGAGACGGATTAGCGAGCTTGGTTTGGCCAATCCTGTGATACTAAATTTTTAGAACAGATATTCTGCAACTTTCCTGCTGCATATTATAAACATCTAACTACAGAGTCACTAAACCGTGTCCATTTCTCTCCTTTTGTTGTTATATTTTACCATGGTAGACCCAGTGGATTTCAAAAAACAGTTCTCCCTGAAGGACCAGGCAGGTGTTAATGTGCAGGTGTACATATGCAGGTATGGCATACGTAGTGTGGACCTCTGCACAAAAGAAGTCCACATAATGTAGGGTGCGTTGGCATTGTTTGGACTTGCACACGTCCAAGGGGAATTTTGGGGTCAAGGTTAACTGTGGCAAAATGAAGAGGAATAGTCCAGGAAATCATCATCAAAAATTGAGTGTGGAGTTATCCTAGTGGGAGAAAAAGGAGCATTTTGTCAAGTTTCCTTAACCACAGAACAAAAGAATGTCCACACTTTGTATGAAAAACAGGTGTGGGTGTACTTACAGTGTATGAATGTTCACATTGACGGCCTGTCAAACCCTACACGACTCATCTGCAGTTGGTTTTTTTTTTTTTTACATGTTGACAAGTGAAATGTCACGGGGGGAGGGGGCTTAGGGGAAATGAATCATTGCTTACATGGAATTGTCCCTGTCTCCCCAGACGGAGAGACCTGGAGACAGGACAGGGGGGGGGAATAAGAGAATGATGTGAGTGGCATATGGGGTCCAGAATTGACTACTTTTCAACTCATTGCTTGGCATTTTGCAGCAAACATGAAACCCTTGATTACAGGCTATTTCTACTGAAAGCCTTGTTATGTCATTGACAATAGGCAGACTTAAGGCCTTTTTCAAATCTTGTCTTCATCTCCACTGCTGGCTTCATCTCGAACTCATTTACTACTCCCTGCCGGGGATTCTGGATCCGGATACATATGCTTTATATGCGTGGCCGGGGTCTCCGCACTTGAACAAAGGGAACAGGGCCTTGTAACAAAAGACCACACTCGGAACAAAAGACCAGGCTGCTGGGAATTACCAGCATTTTTTCACTCTCAAAAGTGGAGACAATCCAGCCTTGTTTTAAAACAGTATATTATGATTTGGGGCATTTAGCGTGAGCAGATTACCACTGGGGACAAAAGCGCTCCACCACTGCATCAATGAGCCACACAGCACCGTTGCATGCTAATCTGGCCCCTGTTGAAAACACGTCAGCAGCAGTTTAACGCTTTTGATAAGGGGAAGGAGCAGCTTGAAGTTTAATGACAATGAAGCATTTAGCCTATGAAGACGAGCAGAAATTTGGCAGTACTTGCCCAAACGTACCAAAACAGTGCTCCCATCACAGTGCATAAAGGGAATAGGATAAGTTCTCCAAATGAGAAGCCTACATGTAAATCTTGAATGGAGACATTTTGTACGGAAACTCTGCCAAAGCAACAGAACTTTGTAAATGACTAAATTCTGCAGTTTCAGAGGGCATCCATTAGTAACTGATTCATGCGTCTCAAGTTGGCTCAAAGTGCTTGCTCAAAAACACTTTACTAACTCAAAAAAGGAACTCGTAAAACCTTCATCTTGAGGAAAAAAGACTTGTACACATTCACCTTGGGAACAAGAAAGGACTCGACACAGCCATCTTGGGAAAATATGACTCAAAGTCAGCTAGGGCATGGTTGCTATGACTGGATAAGTTTGGCACACTGAACTATGCAGAAGTTGGAAAAAAGTTACATAGCATTACTCATAACCCTGCTTTGCAGCTTCACGAAGTATGAAACAGCAGATTCTGTTTGTGTCGCTCTTTCTCTTTGGTTTTAGCAAGGGATTGGGACCTAAAATGTCCTTGTTACAAGCAGAATCTTGAATCAACAGTGCTCTTATTAACGAGGTTAACGATGTTGTCTAATTTGGGTTTTTTTGCCCTACCCGATGTATATTGTAAACATTGAATGCTAAGTGTGAACACCCAAGAGCTTGTGAAAAAAATGCAAGCTTTAGGGGTGTGATTTGGGGAAAATGAAAAATCCACGACACATTTGGCGGAGAGTTTTGCAAGTCGCGTCGGCCACAGCTTCCCTACAATTCGTGGCATATCTATTTGATTATAGGAGGAGATTCAGGTACTACATGTAAGCCACCACAAGAGCTGTTCTTACTTTGAAGGATACAATTATAACATTTACAGCAACAAAACCCTTGTTCTCATTCATTCAATTGCAATTATACATGTAAGCTATAATTGGTGACAATCAAAGACCTAGAAGTGTAATACACACACACGCAGTAATCAGTGATCCACAAAATTCTATCACAATTAATTAAACCTGAAAACTGTCTCATACAGATGAGTACTGCATTACTTGTGACACCACGTACACTTGCAGTACCCAGATTTGTCGATTTTTACGAGAAAGTCATGATAATATATCGATTTCTCCTTTGTTAATTCTCTGTCCACCTCGGTTTCCAGCCAGGAAAATTTCCAAGAATTCTTGAATCCTTTGTCTACATTCAGATCCCCTTCCCTACCTACCGGTACTATCTTGTATGACATTGTTGATGGACGTCGCTGACATCAGACCACCACGAGAACGAAACGAAATGGCAGACGGACGCAAGTTGTACACAGTGAATGCAACGACAACACGTGTACCGTGCACACATGTACACACACAGCGAACGTACAGTACATGTACATTTACATACACACAACGATCATACCGCTGGCCTGGGTCCCTATGTTTTAACAATGATACCCCCTCCGGTCAATGTACTATTAACTATGTATCTGGTGCATTTCCAGGGGGAGTAACAACGCAAAAGTGCATGCTAGACACCTAAACTTGTGCAAGTCTTTCACTTAGTTTCACACCAAATATTGTAGTCTTTGCGTAACATATTGAAAGCATTGACAATAGGGAAATCCGGAAAGACTCACAGAAATTCCGGATTTCCGGAATCCTGAAAAATCGGACAAATCACACCCCTGAAGCTTGATTCGGGTGGGAGTCGAACCCACGACCTCCTGCCTTGTAGTACAGACATCTTAACCATTCAACCAACTTCCTGGGGTCAGCTGGCTGGTGCGAGTCAGATGTGGCGGTGGGCACCGCGAACAATGTTTCTAAAGATGAATTTGCATTGGGGAGATATTAATTTATTTGACGCTTGCAGATGGGATCTCTTACGGTTATTCCAGTCTCCTTTATCCCTTAAGCAAGCAACCAGCTGTTGTGGCCGCTGCATCCTTCCTCAGGACACCAACAGCAAGCTCAGTAGAAAAGTGGTAGGACTTCTGCTCAACGGTAAGTGGACGCAAGTGGGTTTGAGTCCCACCCAAGTATTTAAGCTTGTGAAATTTTTTTTTCACAAATACACACATGTTGATAAAGAGCAACTTCTGCCAATATAAAAACTTTGATCACATGTACATTGAAAACTTGTCTTACGTAAATCCCCTGCTCTGTAACAAAACCATCCGATTTCATCATATCAGGTACATACCTCGCTAGGTTCACGTGTGATGAAGACGTGACAATACTGGATTCCAACAGGACCTTTAGGGTTACGAGAGAGGAAGGCAAACTGGCAGAAGTCAGGGTCACAGGTCGCGTAAGAGATCCGCTTTAGAGCATGAGCCATAAGGGTCACCTGTTACCAAACAAGACAACTGGATAACTGAACTTGTCTTTAAGTTCTCTAACAAAGGAGTTGGAGAGCATAATGTCAAACTGAGTTAAAGCTGTAGAGCTAGTATGTCAAAAAACAAGTGTTATAGTTTAATATCCTCAGTCAATATATCAGTATATCATCTTTCTATCTGACATTTCCCGTGGATAACACTCATGCCATGGCAGAAATTCAAGATGACAGCTGCAAGAGAGTACATTGTTTAAGTCTTACTGTACATGCCGTCGTGACGATGTCTTGTGCTGCTAATGCAAGGTGGAGCTGTATATAGAGAAGCACCAGCTTCAGATATTTGGAAACAAAATGGCTGTTCATTATGTGTACAGCACAGTGCATGGCTCACGTATACCAACCGTCCAAGTACACTGGCACATGCACCTGCTAGTTTGTTTCCAACAATGGTGACACTCATGTCACAACTCTCGTTCCACATGGCTCTGGTGCAAGACTGCTAGCTACATGTAAATGTTCATTTGCTAACTTCATGTGATCATTAGAATACCACGGGTCATCCTTGTGGGACCCTTTTTTTTCTGTCTGTGTGAATGTTGCCTTTGACCCTAGACCTTTTAAGTTGATTTCGCAACAATAAAGAGTACGCAAACGTACATGTGTTGGATTCTGTTAAATTTGACAGCTACATGTGCAAAGTTGTTTGTTGTTGAGTTCTTTTAGATTAAACAGCGTAAAAGGGTTAATGGACTTCAATTATGAGTTTCCAAGTTATTCTTTCACTTCAAAGAGCAACACACTGCAAGCTAAAACAGCTGGAACTAAAAATAAGCACAGGAAGACAATTCATTATCAAAACACTGTCACAAGCCAAATGATACAGGAAAGGAACAACTTCTGTTTTTATCACAGCGACAATTTCCTTTGGCAAACGGTGCAAGGTGCATCAAGGGACAAGTCGGGCAATTGGGTCTGATGCCACCAATAAATAGAAAAGTTTATTAGATTTAAGTACATGTATGACGCTTTTGCAACACAGATCCCTGCCGTAGACTTCTCAGTTTTCAAATACGTGTACCGGTAAGACACCGATGCTAGTCCCTGTGTCACAGAAACAATTAATGTACACTTGTTAAATGAAACTACACACATTAGCCTTGATTTGTTTCGGTTCCCAACAACAAACATGTATCTACAGCCCGAGAGTGTTGACAGGTACTGCACCAATTTCCTGTAGCTGACAGCGTGTGGTTTGGAATAAAATATTCGATAATACCACAAATGCACAATTTACGTTGCTTTGAGGAAGTGGACCGATAGAAGTGAGAACAACACATTTCATTTGGAATTTGACTGTCCATTGCAGGAAAACATACGTAGCAGAGTGACGGTACTTTATTTTTCTGCAGTTTTCACAAAGCAGTTGAATGTGACTGGTAGCAGTGAACACCTCTAGCATTAATACTGAGCAATTTATTGGTTTAAAATGTACTTTTGAAAACATATAATGTCCGAGAAATTATAAGGAATCATTCTGTACTCACCCGGGACACCAGATAATTTATGTACATGTACATGTATTTCTACAACACGGTGTTATGGAAAATGAAACACCCTGTTCACAGTTTGCACTTGTCTGATAAATGGACTTTGAGCCCTATCAATCTCAAACTACTTGCATCTCAAAAAGTATTTGCATGTATTTGTAAAAGCTACTTGTTTATTTGAACTGATAATTTAACATTTTTGCTTACGCACTCATCTGTATTTTCAACTACAAATACAGTCTACAAGAGGTCTTTAAAGTGACTCCGTTTAATTTCAACTCGTGACAATTTGTTCAAAGTGTGAAGAGTCAAGAAAACTTGAAAATGAACCAGGGAAAACACTGTGATTGAGGGATTTGGTTGTCAAAATCATGTCAAGTATTTGGAGGGAGTCCTTAACCTAAACAGTGACCTACATGTACAAGCATTCGTAAAGAATTCCAATATCACTGAGGCACTATCGAAAAGGTAAAGTGTTCTGTTGATTTTTGTGAATGTCTGTGAATAATTTATGGGGTCATTTTTTTTATTTTTGTTTCCCAAAGTTTGGTTTCAATTGCTTTGCGCAAATTTATCAAATGAAGCATCTGTGAAAAGGATCCACCCACGAAATGTCAAATTTGGCCGCAAATGGTCTTCTTCCTGCTTTGCATTTTGGATGGCTCTTAGACCGTGGGTAGACCCACAACACTAGACAAACAACCCCATGACAAGTTGGGGTGGCAACCACAATGGGCAGGTGGTTGATATGGCCACTATGACTGCAATAGATGGGTGGCCAAGACAGGAAGATGGCTACACACAGTGGCCATAAGGGGGCAAGTGGCCACAACAGGAAAGTGGCCAAATCAGACAGGTGGCTACAATAGACTGGTAGCCATAATGGGTAAGTGGCCATAACATCCAAGTGGCCACAATTACCCGGTGACTGAAGTAAAAACAGGCAGCAAAGCACACAGGCAAGTGGACAGGGTGGGGACCTCTGGCAAGAAAAAGTCAAGCCAAGCATTCATTTCTGACTTTCTGAGCATGACACATCTGTCTACACACTATCAAATTACATCCATAGTGTATGTGTACTGTATGTACGCGTACTTGAACCCACGTGTACTGTTTGGGTAAACAGTCAATTTTTTTAAGACTGAGTGTCTAGGACAGGTGACTCAGAAAAATTTTGGACTTGGGTACAAGATCTGTCACCGACGCTGCCTTTCCCAAACACCTGTTTTTCCAGCCAGCATCACTGGACCTGTTTCCTGTGACAGGAACAATCGTAAAAAGCTGACGGGGAGCCGCTTAGCTTTGCTTTGTCCTCTGATCCTTGGGTTCATGGTCTCCATTTTTCGTCAAAGATGGAATATGATCATTAAATTAGCACATGTACACGTATGCAAATCACTACTTTGGGAAAACAGTGACATGCACTACCTCAAATGAATGTAATTACACGGACATCTCTTGGCTTTGTGTGTTGTTCAAGACTATACTACCTCTGTAAGGTAAGATATAAACCAAGGATATACCTGGTGATTTTCTGGATCGTAGACTTTGATCCCTGAGAGCGAGATGAAGAGAGACACTGGCCGAGATTTCTTGGGATTCTGTAAGAGAAAAGGCAGGATTCATTCACCACAGATAAACAGCCAATCAACCAACGGACAGACAAACCTGCAAACAATAATTAAAACATATAAGGAGTGAGAAAAATATGGACAACTGAACAAATTGAGATTGAACAGCTGCATAAAACAGACCACAGACTTCAGTCACAGAAACACAGAAGCAAGGTAAAGTTTACTTTGCCTGACACATTGCTACATGGTACATGTAATTCCAGAAATTAGGAGTCCAAAAGTGTGACATTTTTGTGTCCCTGTTACATCTGACCTTTGTTATTCGACATGGAATATCACCGGAATCGATTTCAAACTATAACTATTTGTTTGGCAGGTAATTTGCATTAATTCATCCCTCGTGGAAATCAGAAAATGTGTAACTCACAAATAGATCAGATGTGACAGGGAAACGAAAAAAATGGACCCCTAATTTCTGGAATTACCCACATGTCAAAAAAATTACACTTGAAAGGTGAAACATCTCCCAACACTTAAAAAACTATCTTGCCCGAATTGCAGATTTTGTAAATCTGCAAGTCTGGGTAATTTGCTATTCTGTGTAATTGCGAAGTGTAAGTGCCATAATCACACATCCAGTATTGGCCATGTACAGTTTATTTACTGCTTTATAAACAGACCTTTTAAAATAAACAGAACAGAGTAGTCAGTACATGCAGGTGTATGAAGGCCACTGGATGTGACCTACTTACAATAAATACACCTGACAAACATGACAGACATTGAACGAACAAGGTACCTGTAGGGACTGAAGCTGAAGACGAACAAACTCAGCTCTGTTGTTAGGTTGTAGATGCGCCACCGAAAAAGATCCCACATACTGTAATGAAATGACAGGTTAAAATGATGTTTTTGCTTGAAACATGCACCTGTTTGGATATGAATGCACGATGACTTTAAAAGCTTGTCATCATCTCTGTTGTGCATTACAAATTTGCGGGATGCATCAATTATTAGCGATGAAAGAGTGTCCTTGAGGAGTTCATATTCAGTAAATTTAGTACAAACTACACCTAGTACCCAACTACGCATACATGATAAGCACTAAGTTAATCACAAGATTTACACACTGTCACTTAAATCTGACACACTACATGTACCAGATTTTAGTTTTTGTCTATGAATGATTACACCATGTTTTGCCCTTGAAATGTTGCCTTACAATTGAAACTTTCTACCCTTAAAGGTATTTAACAACTACAAGAAAAGTACATGTACATGCATTCGATATGCAAGTAATATTTTTGTTCAAGGTACAGCAATCAACATAATCAGCACTTTCATGATCATGTTCTTTTAAAGGATTCATTCTCAATTTCTGGAAATATCTGAGGAATACTGTGACCTTTGCTGATCTTTGCTCGACCCAATAACTCATAGCGATCAGGCCCAGCCTCCAACTGTGAAATCTCTAGGTGTAACAGGACTAGACATGAGGCATCCAATGGAATGGCTGAATTCTGTCCTGACAGTGCATAACGTAATGACTCAATGAATGCAATATTTCAGCTATCAGGCCCCCAACTGCTTTCTGATATGAACAACGGCTGACTGGTGTGATCTCCCATCAGATGTCAAACGATATTTCAGGAGTTTGGATTCTGAAGAGGCTCTCCAAGGAATCAGTAATGTATTCAGGAAGGAAAAAAGGAAAAACATAATTATTTTTCCCACAACCAAAATGTATAGCTACCAGCTTTCTGTACATTTAAGCCAAAGAATGTAAACTTTCCGAACTATGTACATGTACATTGTAAATGTATGTTGGCACAAGATTACATGTACATATTTTGTTCCAAAATAGAAACCATATTATTGGGGAAAAAATTGGTCACATGGGTTTCATGGTTTTAAGGTACCAGCAGCGTACCTACATGTACATGTACAGTACTGTACACACAGACCAAAGGATGTGCGTACAGCAACATACAATTGTACACATAAATAATGTACATTATTCAGCACACACATTTAATCCAAACAAAGCCTTGTACAGTCTGCGGTGTTTTTCTAATTTCATTGATTATTGGGATGACTAACAAGCAAAATTAACTGCAGTTCTAATAGCCCTAATTTCCATGGCAACAGGTACATGTACAGGTATACACAAAGCTTGGCTGCAGAGGTGAATTCTCTGTGAGAGCCCACACTAATAATTTGCAAGGTCAGATACACCATAGAGCTACAAACCCAGCTCTATGGATACACAATGCACTATCATCTCAGAGAGTGGCAGCAGGCCAGGCAGGAGAGCCTAGAGGACAGAATGATTGCCGGGAGCAAGCTCCCTGCTTCAGTTTCACCTTGGCCTAATGCACAGGGGGTGAGGATAATTGGAAGACAGATTAAATGGCTTATGATGGCTGATCCTGACTGACGTACAGGTGCACAAGATACAGGTGCACAAGATACCAGGTGCACAAGATACAGGTGCACAAGATACAGGTGCACAAGATACAGGTGCACAAGATACAGGTGCACAAGATACAGGTGCACAAGATACAGGTGCACAAGATACAGGTGCACAAGATACAGGTGCACAAGATACAGGTGCACAAGATACAGGTGCACAAGATACAGGTGCACAAGATACCTGAACTACATGTAGAAATGTATGTACTGTATACATGTACATCATTGGGTATATTCAGATACAACAGAAGCAGCGTGACGGATATATGACCGACCACTATTTGCATAAACACACAGTAGGTGTTTCCTTCTGGCAATAAGTTATGTCAAGACTTGAAAATGGCAATGTGTCTGGCCCAAATTCAGACTGATCCTCTCTCAGGGGTGGGGGGACGATGGAAGGGGGAGTGGAAGGGATAGATGAACATGTAATGAACACACTCTACAGTCCCTACAACTCGGTCCTCATTTTGACTAACAATAAAACAACTTCCCCATAATGCCACGGCCTACCAAGCTGGGCACATACAGTAACTGTGGAAGCATGCTTTCTGCACATGTGCATGCAAGTGTGCCTGTATTGGTATCAAGGTGCTGACCCTAATTAGACAAGAGCGATACATACAAGAGTTAATATCTTAAGCTACATGTGCATCATCAGGTGTCTGGCAAAAGATCGTAAGTACGCGTTTACGCCCTTTTGCCGGGGAGCATGATCACAGCAGAAAAAATATTCCCCACAAAAGGGCGTAAGAACCACACTCTCTTTATTTAGTAAAACAGATAAAATTTACTACAAAATCAACACAGGCTGTAAAAAAAAGCAGTGTTTGAACAACTTATTAAATGACTTGGGATTTTTTTTTTACTTTTTGCAAAGAAATCTTTATTGTTAATTAATTAAAATAAAACAGTTGCATACCGGTACATACATCCTTTTGCCGACAAACGTTTACATGTATTTTGCAGTGATCATGCTTCCCAGCAAAAGGGCATACTTATGCCCTTCTTCCAGGCACCCGACCGTATGTACTTTGCATAAATTTATACTATGCACCATGGAGGAAGGAACAAACATACAGTGTAGATACACGTACCACAAAGTTTCAACTTTTGAACTGTTTTATGCTACAGTGACACAAGGACAAAAGGATGACCACTCATTGTTGTCAGTAGCTCCCTACAGACATGAGTCACAGAGGTACATCACTGAATATAGGGGTGGGTAGCCGTGTCAGTCAGGTAGAATACAAATATAAAGAATCAGTAGCACTTGAATGACTAAACTCTGCATAAGCTTTCGTAGCTACAGCTACTTCATTGCAGCTACGAAAGCTTATGAAGACTTTTACTTTAATAGTTAGTCATTAAAGTGCTACTGACTCTTTATAGAGGTACATCAGACACTGGGTTCACAATTGCCAGCAAAGAACTCACTGAAATGGTCCAGCCGTGCAATGAAAATATAGAAGAGGTCAAAGAAATGCAACTGAAGCTTGCCTCGTCTTCCTTCTTACTTCAGAGTCTTTCTTCACAGGTCGGGTTTGAACTCTTACCAGAGCCAACAGATTTTTGTAATGATTTCTACACATTCATCTTTTACAAAAGCTAATGAGTACAGGAATTACATGTATGTAAATTATATGTAAAGGTATATTACTGGACAAAATAAACAACTCTATGAAACAATCTTATGAAATCAAAACCCATTTCTTGAAAAATAAACGCTGTCATTATTATACACATTCTCTCTCTTATTTGTTTGATGCTTTAAACCATTCATACAAGTAAATTTTTCCCACATCTTAAGCCTATCTTAATATTTTTTCTGAGCCAGACTAAATCTGTAGCATCACAGACAACTGAAGTAAGAAATAAGGGCCGCCCAGAGGTGAGATTTTTCAAACACAACTCTTGCCTCCATGTACTGTGCATTTAGTGATGATTTTGCAAAGCTTTCATAAATCACTTTGTACGTGATACAGTCCGCGGAATGAAACCTCTCTGCATGCTCAGCATGTACACTTCCCTAGCAGCATACTCCCATTCAAACCCTGTCTCAATTTCTGCTCTTTCTTCCTAATTCCTCCGTGCCGGCCATCCGATGACTGCATGAGGTCATTGACAACCGGACTTATGGAAACAAAATGACTCACTGCACCCATTTCGGAATAGGAAACTGAAACCCTAAACCATTTCTCACTCCAGGAGGGGGTACGATAGTATCTAATGAGAATATGTAAGAACTGAACTGAATATCCCGAACAACAGTTTGGGTACACGTCAAAGATTTGACCCTTGGGATATCAGGCAGGTGGAAAATTACCACTTTTGATTTTGCGGTCCATGCAGTTATCAGATTTCTGCTCTTTGGTGCTGAGAATTTCTTGACTTTTAGTTCATTCTAGATTTTAAGGTACATCTACCTTAACAAACAAACCAAACCAAACCAAACCTAATTTGCACTGATTGACGTCTTCGGAATTGGTAATTACATGTGTAAATGCACACACTGACGTTGGTGAGTTTATTCCCAAATTTTGGCTGTTTGAATATTTCTCAGTTGCTTATTGTATTCCTACCCCCATTTTCTTGAGATTTTCAAAACCTCATGAAAATGAATATGTATGCAAGGTTATGTACATTACCGGTACCAGCAGCATCAGTACTTTTTTATTTTACTGGATTAAATCTTTAATTCCATTTGGAGCATTTAAATTAATATGCAAACATAAACAAGTGTCATGGAAGTTTTTTCATCACATGATGTGTGCAACATTTACAGCCACAGAACATGTTCAGGTCCATTTATTTGTTAGAAGTAAATTGAAAATTGGCAATGGACTGCTCAGCATACAGATGGAATGACACCTGCTTTTAAATGCATTATGAAGAAGACAATAAATAATACGTTAACAGATGTTGCACTGGGCCAAGCAAGGGCTACATGTTTATAGAAACCATTAACCATGCACCCTGCCAACCGAGATCATATTCATAATCCGCTCCGAGAAGGAACAAAAGAGGGCGTGTTCGAAGTGAAATTGACAGTCCTTTGGTATGTACTCATCACATAGGCATGCAAGTTTATGTGCATTTGACACGGATCACCCTGAGTACGAGTTTAGTGTGGAATATATGGTCTTCGCGTGAACGCCGAACGTGTGCAAAAATCTGGTTGGAAAACTTAGCACCATCTGTTTTTGTTTGGCCGGTGAGGGTGCACTTTAGCTCAGGGCGGACAGCAAGGCAGTCCAAAGAGCTGCAGGGAGATCGACAGCTGCGATGTGAACATTTGGGGGTTGTTTCAACATGTGCTGGTACACATACATGTACATGTATGTGTACACATGTACTGTCTTCCAATGTGCTCAGCCTAACCGACAATGTTACTGTTTCACTTTTGCATTAGGTGCTACATAAGGACTTGGCAATGTCCAGATTAAAGCTCTTTGTTCCTGTAATGTATTGATAACAGGAACAAAAAATTCTCATCACTTCCTGATTTGTAGACATGTTTGTCTGTCATAATATGCTTTTAAGATAAGTTTACCTTGAGAGAAATTACAGATACATGTAGGGTGAGTGACGAAACTTGAACAATAAAAAAACCCGGTAATTTCATGATTTAAAAATGATCTTGTTTGTTTTCCTGAAAAAATTCTGGGAGCAAGAACAGAAAAAATTTCAAACAAATACTGGCACTGAACAGGATATGAGAGTTTGATTACCGTAATACATCCTTCCCTTGAGTAAAACATCAACCTCCATGGATGCTGTTTGACCAATTATCCAGCCAACCTCCATAAATGCATGAGTCTTTTTATGGGGGGGTCAACCGATCTGAAGAGATTTCTAGCCTCCACAAATCCACCATCATGTTAATTAAGTGAGGAAAAACTATACATACACGTTCCTTTTTTTGCAACTGAAAAAGCAGGTGAACATCATAACCTCAAAACTCTGTTGTTGCACTGTGCAAAGCTGGAGATCAGCATCTTGAGAAAAACGTCCCCACACAAAGAGGATTCACTTGACCAGCCCATCGACGTCATCAATTCATCTGTCCATACTGATCCTGGATTTGCTCTTTGTCCAGGATTTCAATACGTTATACCATCACTTAGCAAAGGGCTACACAATAGAGTGTATTATACACGAGTACAAGAATAACAAAAAAAACTAGTGTGCATGATTATCGGGCTGTGCAATCCAGGAAATGAAATGCATAAAAAAGAGTACTCTTTTCAATGCTACGAGATACCAGCTGTAACTTTACCGGTTTGTGACCATTTACCACCAAACAATAACACACCTGTTTTCAAATGTTTGTTAGGGAGAAAGTACAAAGTGGATTCAACCAGAAGGTGGTCACTAAAACATTTGTAGGATCTGATGCTTTTAGAAACGCATGAGACGCACATGTACATGTCTGTATAATACTACTTGCAGACAGAAAACAAAAGGAAAACGGAATCATGGCAAATAGCTGTAAATGTCACAAATGATCACAGTTCCCATCTGGTAGAATTTAGTATTATTTTGCTTGTTACCAAGTCAAGTTACCCATGTATATACATGTACATGTGGCTATGGAAGCAAGAAAAAAAACATAGTGAACTACATGTATGATTAAAATAGTTCTTTATACATGTATTTATCTCCAAGTATTTCAGTCTGTTAATTTGAAATACAAGTGTTCTTTTAAACAGCAGGATACAAGGGAAAAGGTGATTTTATGTCCACCAGCAGTCTGTGCACTACAAATGCAAGTCATGCATGATCTGCATGCATTGGGGTATTATAATAAAGATTTCTCAATTTGCCAGCTGAGCAGCTGACTATAAAATTGATTATAGTTGTTGCTCACTGGGGTGTGAATGTCTTGCACAATGGACTATGCATGGACGCCTTGCCATCATAACAAAAGGGATTCCCCTGAGGCACCTGATTCATGAACCTTGGCAGTTTTTGTTTCTTCTTTGATCGAAGGAAAAACAGGTTTATGTGAAATTTAGCAACTATGTGTCAAATGGGACCATTTGGAGGAGTTCAGTGTTACAATATCCGGGGGGTTTAAAAATTGACACATATCAAGTGCAGTTTTATGCATGTACATGTACTTGGCTGATTAAACAAATAAGGGCACTTGTATTGGTGACTTCCAAAAGTGTCACAAGTACACAGGTATTTCATGATTAACTTTAAAAATGCATGGAAGCTTCATGTGTAAACATGTGAGCAAATGCAAAAAATCTTCAACTTCAAGTCAACAAAGAAACTTACAGTACGGAAAAGGCGGGGGTACTGGACCACATAAGAAAAGCAAGAAATTAACCAGCTGTGTAACTTTTTGAACGCTGTTGGTCAAAATCTCCTCCTGGTTGAAAATTCCCTCACTTACCCTGTATGTGCAGAGCTATTACATAATATGTTGGCTTCTAAATGTTTGTATTTGAAAATCAAAATATTTTCCCACTTATTGTAAAAACATAGGCCTAAAAACTATTTACAAAAGCTATCTACAAATAATTCATCACATGGAGATATATTATTAAAATTAGAATTCATATTATGAATTAGAATTCGTCTGTAACAGTTGTTCACAAAATACTACCTACAATCCACGACCTGACGACAGTTTATAAAGATCCAATTGAACAACAACAAAAGATCCAATCATATAGTGTCCTTGCTCTATGATCTGAAGTAATCACGAGAATTCTATACTCACCTCACATGCTTTAGTCACCCCCTTCGTACTCCACTCGTCGGCGAAATCGCCGCAGTCTTGTCCGCCAGCGCCCGGCGCGCCGGAGCGCGGGCCGCCCGGTGAAGGCACGAGGCTTCCCCGTAGTCTCATCCCCGCTATACTGTCTGGATCGGGCTCTGAACTGTGCGAGCTTGAACTCGAAGCATCGCTCAACAATCGGGTTCTCTTGTCTAAATAACTGGATCTCTTTTTACCGGATAAAACAGGCCTTCTCTCTTCCTGATCCTCTGCGGCCACTCTGTTTCCTCTGCCGTTGTACATGATGGAAACAGATGGTAAAAAGGGGAAATTTCGGAGTCAAAGTTCTACCAAAGTTCGACCATCCTGTTGTCTGCCCCCACCGACGTTGCGTAGCCTCATTATGTGCGATGTACATACATGTATGTATGCATGCGCTGCACACATGCAGCCCGCACGGCAGATTTTGTTGTCGTACGTCACTTCCGGAATCCCACTCTCCTCATCTTATAATATACAGCTTGTAGATGATACTTACAGATAGAACGCGTAAATCCTGAAGCAAGTTTATGCCGCATACTACACGTTACTTTCACAATGGTGCACGTGAAAGTAGGTCATAAAACAACTTCCTTGGATTCAAAATGGCGGCCTCCTGTACCCGATAAACTGTCTGGATTTTCGTTTCAGGAATGAGTCTAGCCCTAAAGTCACACTTTAACGGTAACACAGAATACTTGGTGATTTTATCAGTTTTTGTGCTCTGCTTTGTCAGATCTAAAACAAGCTTATGAAATGAGATCTCCACTGCCCCAATGCATGCAAGGGAGCGATCGTAAACCGACGCCGCAGAGCGGTACAGCATGTACATGTACATGATGATGATGTAACGTGACTGAGATACATCATTTTACTAGTAGTATCGATGTCTCCAGTATTTAAAGCAGTAGTTACAACATTTCCCGATCGAAATAAAGATTGCTCGCTCACCTTCCTGAGTTATTCTATCCTTGCTGTTATTTAATTTTAACTCATAAGATTCCTAAAATATTTTGTTTGTGGTTCAATTAATTTTTCTTCTACGATAGCTCAGAAAATCTGTGTGCGCACCGTATGCAAGCAGAGGTTAAGTCTCTATTAATTATCACGGTATCGAGAAATAGTTCTACGATGGCCTTTAAAGCACTTTGTTTGTGAATAAATAAAGAAAAAAACAACGATTTTGTTTCAGAGGAAACAAAATAGGTCATTTTGTGATAATGTTCCATTTTACCTATAATTAATTAGGCCTAGGCTAACTCCATTTTTCCAGTCTCCTCCTTAAAGATGCTGAACACCGAGGGAACAAGATGGGAACAATTCGGCTGCTTCAGCTTACACTTATTAATTCTAGAAAGGAATAACTTCATTCTTTTCACCAGAACTTGTTTACCCCAATCTTCAATGTAGCAATAACTTTTGACATTCATCTTATTCTTATTACTTAAATTGGTGTTTTGCCGAAGGAATAATAAATACGTGGGTATTGCAAATTTCATTTTTTTTATGCTTAAAGAAACATGCAAAAAGATTTTCTATGTTTCAATAAAACATATCCTTAGGCCATAAATTATTGATTACCTGGGCAAATATTGCCATTGGGAACTCACTGGCAATGTCAAATTCAAAATTTCTGATACAGCGATAAAAGAGTTACCGCGATAATATAGGAATTGACTATACAGTGGGTATAAGTGCACCACCACTGTAACTGCCCCCGGCCTGGCCTGCCTGTATGCCGTCTGCCATGTGTTGTCTGAGCACTCGCATGGACATGTTGGTTATGGAAGTTGGGAAAGAGTTCCGTGTGCAGACCCCACTTGACACACCATGCATAAAGTACCAGGCCCAGGCCTAAACAACTTTGTTTTCCCTCCTAAATTGAACTTTCCTAGATAAGTTTTTGCTTTCTGATGGCTAATAGGCCCAGGTCACTTTAGGGAATAATTACTGGCGCCCATATGTATGGAAGTCTTTCCAGATGTTGGGCACAGTTCAGTTGATTTGCGAGATTGCTCGATCTTTACATTATTTTATTAACCAGATAGGCTTGATAGGCCTAATGTAATGTAGCCTATTTCCAGTCTAGCCTAATTTCACTTATTTTTCTCCCCAAAAGATAATTGAACAGAATCAAGAGTCAACGATGAAAAGCGAGAATGAGACTGTCATTGAGCGCCTTCCCCTAGAGCATCCTCTGCCAGAGGAGATAAGGAAGATGGAGAGAGATGAGACTGTCTGCCAGTTCTGTGGTGTTAGCTATCTGATCCATCGAGAAGTAAAGGCTTTAGAAGATCAGGCAAGTCAGAAGTACTCTAGGTATACTACAGTTTACATTGCAGTTTCGAAAAATGTTATCCGTTGGAGTTAGGTGATCATCCGAATTAGCTTTTCTGATGATTGGTACCAAAGTATCACACTATTTTGTGTGTTCATGGAAACCACCAAAAATTACTCAAGCTTCGCTAGTAAACATATAAAAGTATTGTTTTCCTCTTGTAGACGAAGTAAAATGAATCTGTTTCAATATTTTGATAGCTTAAGAAAGTGCATGAGGAATTAACACGGTATGAAGGAAGTGAAGAGCGAGAACAGCAACTCAGAGAAGACTTGGAGAAAACCAGGAAAGAGAGAGATGCTGCTTTCTCCACAATCCAAGAAAGAGATTTATCGTAAGAGAATCACTCCATAATAGAGCTATTTAATGTTTTTTTATATAACTGCCATAGTAGTTTGAACTTTTATCGAGAATGCTTTTGATACAATATCTTTCTTACGGCACTCTAAAGTAAAGTACTAAAATATACATTTAAAGACTTCAAAACACAACCATCCTCTCGTTGGTTACAAACAAGACGCTATGGTGATGCTTAAATTTTATAGTCACCACTTGTCTGGCACCCACATGAGCACACTTCAGATTTGTTGAATGACACAGATATACCTGCTTCCAGGTGCAAGCAAGCAGGCATGCACATGTGGTGTGTCACAGTGGGGTGTTAAAAGGAGCCCTCTCTTGGTCATGCATGGAATCCAAGTAGCATGGTGCCAGATTTATTTGCAATTCACTGTTCAAATTCCTTTTCAGCATCCAACGTTTAATGGCAGAGGTTGAACATAAAGCCAGTGAGCTGAAGGAGGTAACAGAATCCAAGAAGACTCTTCAGAGCAGACTAGAGGAAGCAGGGCGAACCTCAGACAAACTTAGGTACTAGTAGATAGGTACATGTACTGGTAGATACAATGTAGGTACTAGTAGACAGGTACTTGTACCAGTAGATAGGTACCAGTAGATATTTTGTACTGTTATCATTTTAATGCCAGAAATGCACCTTCCCCTATATGTAGCTACTGACAAAGAACCCATTGCCTGGGATCAAAACTTTAAGATATTCAACCTTTTCCTTATTTTATATATTCCATTATCCAGGAAGCAGCAAGAAATCTGGAAGATGAAATTACCCAATTTTTATTCTTCGGTTCAGCAACAGAAATCAGAACTGCAAAACATCCAGAGTTTCATACATCAGATGGGGAAAACAGTTAGAGAATCATCCAATAAGCTGAGTCTTGTTGTCAAGGCAGTCTGCTCTCAAGAAGCTGAAGGTAACTTGAGGTTTCCTTTTACAAAATATGTACGACAAATATTCTTTAGAAGTAAACTCAGTACCTTGTACCCGATAAACATCTTTTAATTTTTCCCTTGTAGAAGTATTGAGATTGAGAGATGAAGTGTTGAGACTTGGAGAAGACCGGACGTCTTGGCAGAACAGACAGGGTGAGATGGAGAAAAACCTGAGGAATGCTCGAGCAGAGGTGGAGAGACTTACTCAAGTTGAGGGACAACTCACGCTGAAGGAGGAGAATTATTCACAGCTCACCTTACAAATGGAGAGTAGGTAGCCAGTGGTAGGCTGCATCTGTATCTGTTGTCTAGAGCTAGGTCTGGGTCTTCACTCCATCGCAGACATGCGCTGAGACACGCTGACGTATTAGACGGAGCCATAGCGTGGGAAGCCCTTTTCGGACTCGTCCTTATCCTCAGAAATTGTACACTTAAAACAACAGCGCCTATTGAGTGTCAACACCAGGATCGGCAGAATTATCTGTGGAATCCTTATTTTTCAGGGGATACTCATGGCTTTAACACCACACTGGGGGAATTGTGAGAACTAAACATCTTGGAGATGGTGAGAAATGTTAAATGGCATAGGAGTTGTGATACGTTTGTCACACAGCATGAGCGAGCACTATGCAACCATTCGAGAACAAAATCTTCTTTAACATAATGGGTTTTGCCCCTACCCAAGGTATATATTAATAAACACTGTATGCTCAGTGCTTGTCCGGGAGCTTGCGAAAAAAATCACAAGCTTACTCGGGTGGGATTCGAACCCACGAGCTCCTGCTTACTAGTGCAGACGTCTTAACCACTCGACCACTGAGCTTGCCGGGGTTGGCTGGCCGGTCGTAGTCAGATGAAGCAGTGGATACTGCGAACTATTTTTTAAATTTTTAAACACTTCGATTTTGGTTATTTAAGTTGTAGTTATGTTAAAATATTTGTGGCATTGTCTGTGCTTTTTATTTTACAGGGTTACAAACTGAATTAGATACAGCTACCACACAGCAAAGAAAGTTGTCATCGGAAGCAGCTGAACTCAAGGGATTACTTAAGTAAGTTTCATCAGTACTGGATTTCCTGCCAGGGTTTTATTTTATCATTGTATTTATCAAACGGGTGTGAATGGCCAGTTAAACTTACTTTTGTACGGATCAGGTGTACAAAAAAGTTGAAATTCGGGGTCGCCATCTGAACAAAAAGGCTGAAATCAGCTAAAAAGCTGAATTCTCACGTCTCTGATATTCAAAAATATTCCATTCCTGTGAGGATAATTAACAAGATGAATTCTCCTCAAAGGTATGACTTTCTGCACATGAGAATCGGACCCGAATGCAAGTTGAACAACATTTTAAACTGCAAGCAACAAGATTATGAGATGATACATGAGCCCACACAAGCTGCAAACTTAAAGCTACCTTGGCATGAGCAATTCTAAGGTGCTACTATTAAATGACCCAAAATGGTACAGCTTATTAAACAAAAGTTCTACGTCAACTACAACATATTACTTACCTAAATATGGAAGTTTTCCCACTTGATGGAGTCTTCAGATCCTTTTTTGTTGGTTAATGGATGCTAATTCTGACCTCCCCTCCTCTCTGATGCAGGAGCAAGACCCAGGAGGTGGAAGACTTGCAGACCCTGCAGAGGAGACGGGACCAGATCTCTGAACAACTATCTTCCAAGCTGCAACATGAGCTGAAACATAAGGGCAATGAGCTGCAGGTGGGTTCAGTCGAGTCTCAAGATGAGCCTTCATTGAAGGTGCTTCATTTAATGGAGCTTTGCAGGTTGTTCTCCTGGATGAAAAAAAAACAAAGAAAAGCGTGCTAATCTAGGGTGTGAATAAAACCCCATCATCATAACACAGGTGCAGATTACCGCATACCTTACACGTAATATCTCTTCATTCATGCCATCTTGGTATTCAATGTGGAGACAAATTTTTTTAATTTAGTTTTGGTAGTAAGACTTCTCAGAGCTGATATTTTTAATCCATGGTATTGTTGCTTCAGACGGCGCTGGCTGACTACCGTAAGTTAGAGCAGCGTGTAAGGGATAGAGAGAGAGCTGAGGAAGAGATTCAACGACAAGCATCGCTGTCCATGGGAGAGACGGATCAGATCCGACAGACTTTAATGCGGACCCAGGAGGAATGCAATGCACTCAAAGCCGAGAGGTTCAAGTTCTTACAATGAAAACTCTCTTGTGTGTTATATACTAGAAATTAGACTTGGATCCAAGTTAGAGCACTTAAACACCTCTTTCTACCAACTCCATCATCTTGGAATTCCTCGTTTGTGAGCACTGACCATTGTCTGTACATCACTGTCCTTATGACCTGAGGGAGGGATACTGATGATGTTGGTAATGTATTAGGGGATAAGTGACCTGCAGTGTTCCCCGGTTATGGACTCCATGAGTGGACAATGTCACCGAGTAGCTGCAACTTGTGTGAAGGAGTCTTGTACCGCCTTGGTCACTTGTGCTTTACACTTAGCCATGTTGGCGTGAAAAGAATGAGCTTAGAAGTGTCATAAAATTTGGCACTGGTGTTGGATTCTTGTTCTGTCATGGTCACATCAACGGTCAGTTTATTGTCTCATTTTTGGATTATTTTGTCCATTCTCATCCACTGTCCAGTTTTGGATTATTTTGTCCATTCTCATCCATTGTCCAGTTTTGGATTACTTTGTCCATTGTCATCCATTGTCCAGTTTTGGATTATTTTGTCCACTGTCATCCATTGTCCATTTTTGGATTATTTTGTCCACTGTCATCCATTGTCCATTTTTGGATTATTTTGTCCACTGTCATCCATTGTCCATTTTTGAATTATTTTGTCCACTGCCATCCATTGTCCAGTTTTGGATTATTTTGTCCATTCTCATCCATTGTCCAGTTTTGGATTACTTTGTCCATTGTCATCCATTGTCCAGTTTTGGATTATTTTGTCCATTGTCATCCATTGTCCATTTTCGGATTACTTTGTCCGTTGTCATCCATTTTTGAATTATTTCTCTCAGGGAACTCATGATATCTTCTCATCAGAATCGCATTGAACAACTGCGAGAGAGCTTCAAGCAGAAACTCACCGATGCTGAAAAGTGGCCATCCAAGGTTTGTGATGGCAGTATCTGAACTTTTGAATGTAAGGAGATAGTTCGGTATTTCAAAAAAGCAAGGTCTTTTGGGAACAAAGTGCACTCGTGAAGTGGCGTATGGGTACACTGATGGGGTAGACAGTTGCTCATGAGTGCTTCTATTCTTGAATGACCTTGAACCCGCTTCAGTTTTAAATCCCGCTTAAAAACACATTTATTTAAGGATTATTACTTATCTTGTACATGTTAGTTTTAATTTCTTCGTTTTATGAATATTTTAATTTAATGTTTATTTTTTTATTGCTTAATTTTTAATTATGTTTTATAACTTTTATAACTATACATTGTTTTAATTATTTAAAGTTAATTTAATTTTTGCATTTTACTGTAAAACGCTTTGAGATGTCATTGACATGGAAAGCATTTTTCAAATAATTCATTATTATTAATGTTATTATTTCAGTTTGGACATGCGTTATTGGAATACTGAACTGGCTCATTGTGTGTACTATTAAGATTCATTGTTTTGGTTTACTTGACGTGCAGATGGATGACACCTTGCAGAAGGAAAGAATGAGACATTCTCAAGAAATACAGGAGTTGGAAGCAAAGATGAAAGAAGCCTTCCAAATAGTAAGAATATATTATTGAAGATTCCTTGGCTTGGAATAAAAACTCAATAACATTTAATTTTCACTTTTGTGGGAATGAAATCTTCTCCACACATCATTAACTGTAGTTATCTCTTGTTTTCGTTTGTATCGCTTTAAGGAGCTAGATATCGAGAAACAAAGGCATCAGGAACTGACAGAAAAATACAAAGCAGAACACCAGGAGAAAGAAAATAAGGTAGTGTGAAGTTTTTTCTTAATTCTTTGTGTTTTGCACAAACATGTTATTAGAAAAAAAAAACAATTCTAACTGTTCATCAATTTTTAATATCAAGAATTTTTCATTTTTAATGGAAAGGCCAAAAGTGTGAACAGATGATATGAGACTGCTGAACACAAAGTTAGTATGTTGGTGTCAGTGACGGAACTGGGCAAAGGTTGATGCTAGGCTGTTCATGAGGTTTCTCCTGCCCTTTTTTGATCAGTTCAAGACTGAGTTACGCAGTCTTGGCTCAAGGCACAAAACTGAGATCAGCCAGCTTGAAAAGCAAGTGTCGGCCCTCAAGATCCAGGCATCGACTGGTGAAGAATCATTAAGGAGGGAGGTGGAGGGTTTGAAATCGGTCATTGTGGATCTGGAGAACAGACTAAGTAAGTAATATGTTCTAGAGAACAGACTAA